GACACAGAAGAAGCTGGATTTAGTTACTGACAGAGATGAGAGGAAGTAGGGAAGAAGATTTACTTTTTTCTGTATGCCCTTCTGAAATTTTACAATTTTTTAAAGAAGCCCACTTTTAAAAATAATTATTTATTTAATTTTATTATTTTTTTTGAAATTTGACCAGAGAGAGACAGAGAGAGGGAAAGTGAGAAACTAAGTCACCAGGTCCAGGACTCAAACTGCAATTGGCCATGAGGGAGTCCAGTGTCTTAATCACCATGCCAACTGACATCCCTAGAAACACACTTTTAATAATCAGAATAAAAAAGACAAAAGGGGGCTGGTTCCATAGCTTAGTGGTTAAGGGAGCCCGATTCCACATGGCTAACTACAGTTCGAATCCTATCTGTAGCCGCTTGAAAAACAGGATGGACGTGTGGGCACATTTAAGATTCCAACAGGATGGAGAAATAAAGGAGAAGGGATGGGATCGTGGAGTGACCACACTCCATTGGGGGGGGCGACTTCTCTCTCTCTCTCTCTCTCTCTCTCTCCATCTCTCTCTGGTGAGCACCCTTTGACAACTAGAAAAAAAAGAAAAGGAGGTGTCCATGTTAAATGGAGTAGCTGTCTGTGCTTGCCAAACTGTATGAAGCCAGCACAACTGTAGGTATGCTTTTTATAGCCTGTTACCTCCACAATTGTTGCCCGTGTGTTTCTCTAATGCCCTGCCAAAATGTCAGGCTGACACATTCTGAAAACTCCCCTTTTTAACCACTAGGCAGTCCCTTTTCTTAAATGCCCATTTCGCTACCCTCCCTAAATCCCCTTTTATCATGAAATGAATTATCTAACACATTTCAAGAACCAGTCACAAACATGATGACCTCTCTCGTAAGTCCTTTACTAGACAAGCCCAGACAAAAACTCTTCCTGTTAACCATGGAAATTTGCACGCAATTTTGATAAGTAGCACTATGGTCACAAAAGACAGGAAATGGGTTAGAGGACATCAGTGCATTCAGACAGAAGGTGAAAGGATTTGAGAGGTCACCAATTTGAATACAGTCATTCCTTCTTTTACGATAGGTCAACTTTGAATACAAATGTCATAGATTTATTTAAACCCAAAAAGTAATTTTGATAGATGGTCTTAACTACAGAATTCTATGCTCAAAATTTCTTACTTAACCTAAAATGCAAATCTTTTACAATGTAATGAGATTGGGCCATTTAAGTAGTGTTATATCTAAGCAGCCCAGGCAGACCAGCCAAACAATCCTATTATTAAAAGCCTCTAGAGAGTGTTCGACAAGCTCCTTAGATAATGAAGCTTGGGGCAGTGACACAGTCCTCATTATAGTCAAGAAGTTCTTCTAACATCCAACCAGGGTTTTGCGTGCCTTTATGTGTTTGCGCATTCTGTTCTATTCTCAATGAATGCCATTCTCTTCCCCAGTCCAATATGTGGTGCTCTCCTTCAAGGTCAAAAAAACCACACTCATTCTGCTTGGCATTCATGTACATACGAATATCTGTATTTTTGAAATTTTCTATTTTTTTAGTATAAAAACCAATCTCTTGTAACTGTTTAGAAATAAATGAAGTAGGGACCAGCAGATGGTGTAAATGTTATGTTGCTGGACTCCCATATAGTCGACTGTGGTTTGAATCCTGGACCTGGTGACTTAAAGTTAATGCCAGGAGCTTGTGTTTGCCCCAAATCTCAAGAGGTTAATAGAGGAGGAGGGATTGCATTGTGGTTATCCCACTGGGGGGGGGGGGAGGTGATTTCTTGCTTTCTGTTTCTCCATCTCTCTCTTTCTCTTAGGGGAGTACGTGCACCCTATCGCAAAAATCTCTCTCTTAAAAAGAAAAAGAAATATATGAAGTAATGGGGCCAGCATATGGCATGTATTTAAGGTGCTAGACTCCCACATGGTTGACTTCAGTTTGAGTCTTGGACTTGGTGGCTTGAAAAATCATGCCGGACATGTGTGCATGGATACCTAAAATCTGGAGAGGAGAATGGAGAAGGGATTGCGGTATGGCTATCTCCCCAGGGAGTGATTTCTCACTTTATCTCTCTTTCTCCAGTGATCACACACACCCTATGGCAAAAACCTTGTAAAAAAAAAATACATAAAGTAAAAAACATTCTGGACTCCCATGTAGTTGACTGGGGTTCGAGTCCCAGACCCATTGGCTTAAACTCACTCTGGGCACATGTGTGTGTGTGCTCAGGATCCTGAGAGGAGAATGGAGGAGAAGGGATTGCAACGTGGCCATCCACCCTGCGGGGTGATTTCTCGCTTTCTTTCTCTCTGTCTCTCTCTGTCTTTCTGGAGAGCGCACACACCCAGTAGCAAAAACCTCTCCAAAAAAAGAGAAAAAATAAATAGATAGGGCTAACCTATAGTGTGGTGGCTAAGGAGGCTGAATCCTACATGGCTGACTGCATGGTTCAAGTCACAGATCTGGCAGCTTGAGAAACATGCCAGACACGTGTGCATACATTCCTGAAGTCTTGAGAGGAATGGAGAAGGGATTGTGAAATGGCCATCCCCCCGGGGGGGTGCCTCTCACTTTTCCTCTCTCTCTCCACATGCCCTCTAGCAAATTAAAAAAACAACAAAAAAAGAATGAATAACCCAAAAAGTCTTTCCATTATTTTTTAGTATACTTTAGTGTTATAAAGGGGTTTAAAAGATGTTATAATTAAGTGTCTTGGCTTATAGAACAATATTTAACGCAATAGCTTATTTTATGTAATAAAGTCATAAATATGTGCTCCCATATATGTTTGTGTCTGCACAGAAGAAAGACTGCAAAAGAATATATCCTAACACCATTATCTTTACGGGGTAGGATTATAGATGATTTTTATTTTCTTCTTGTTTCTTTTTTATTAAGAATTATTTAATTTAATTTTATGTATCATTATTACTAATTTAATTTTAATTTGTTATAGGGCATGTGCATTCACTAGAGAGAGACAGATAGAGAGAGAAAGAGAAAGCAAGAAAGTAAACCACCAGGTTCAGGACTCAGGCAGTTGTGAAAGTCCAGTGCCTCATCCACCATGCCACCCTTTGGCCTGATTTTCTTCTTGGTTCTATACTTTATATAATGAATATACTTTTGCTTAGTATAACAATCTAAAAAGTTGTTTTACGGTGAGCGCATGCGCCCTATAGCAAAAACCTCTCCAAAAAAAAAAAAAAAAGTTGTTTTAGAAGAATACTGATAAATTACTCCCTTTCAACAGCCTTCTACATGATTAAAAAATTCTGAAGGATTCTGAGCTTAACTAATTCAAAAAACAGATTTCTTTTTAAAAAGTTAGCAAATCATTAGTGTTCTTAATGGAGAAAGGGCAATGTTCAAAGAAGAATTAAACAAATTGTTCCAGTAGGAGGAAAAATTCAATTTACTGCATGCAGACTGTTTCTTGACTGAAAAACAAGTTAATTCCTTTCATTCAGAATCAGTATGCATATTCACTGGCTATATTTCATCTCACATCTGTAAACTTAATTTTTCCTTTCTTGGTCGTCAGAAGATTAGGAAATAAATTTTAGTCCAAGTAATAAATACTACTTGGCAAGCTCAAAATAACTTAATTATTAAAAAGCAGCACCAAAGACCAGCTAGCAACTTTCCAAAGGACTGTTAACACTACTTAAAAAAAAGGAGGGGTCCATCTGTCTAAGAAAAGACTATAAATACATGAATAATAAAATACAGTATCTTAGAATTCTCTACAAAACAATGTTGTACATGAACGATCTCTTTGAATTTTAGCAATAATTTTGAAAAACAGGGTTTGTCCTATGGCTTAGTGTTCAAAGGAGTCAGATTCCACACAGCCAACAGCAGTCTGAATCCCATATGCTTAAAAAAGATGTGGGATCAACAGATGGCATAATGGCTATGTTGCTGAACTCCCATGTAGTCGACCATGGTTCGAGTCCCGGACCTAGTGGCTGAAACTCAAGCTGGGCGCATGTGCGTGTGTGCCCAAGATCTTGGGAGGAGAATAGAGGAGAAGAGATTGAAGTGTGGCCCCGCTGGGGGGTGATTTCTCGCTTTCTGTCTCTGTTTCTGTCTTTCTGGCAAGCACACATGGCCTATAGCAAAACCCTCTCCAGAAAAAAAAAAAACAAAAAACCATGTGTGTGGGGGGCACATGTGTGTCCATGTCCAGAATCCCAGCAGGATAGAGAAATGGAGGAGAAGGGATTGTAGCACCCCACTGGGGGATCTCCTCTCTCTCTGGCAAGCTCAAATGCCCTCTGGCAATTACACAAAATTATGAAAAATAGTTTCTCAACAATCCAAGTTATAAAATAATGTCATATCACTTATAGTAGACTATAGACTTTAGAAAACAAGATACGTGTAAGCCAGAATATCTATAAAGTTACTCCCAAGAGCAAAGCAAAATAAGAAGTCCCCCTTTGATGATCCCATACAGCTGAGAAGAAAGCTCTCAAATGAAAGCCTGCTAGCTGGTTCTTTTTTTTTTTTTGGAGAGGTTTTCGCTATAGGGCACGTGCGCTCGCCAGACAGACAGAGAGAGACATAGAGACAGAAAGCGAGAAATCACCCCCCAGGGGGGATGGCCACGCCGCAATCCCTTCTCCTCCATTCTCCTCTTGGGATCTTGGGCACGCACGCACATGCGCCCAGCGTGAGTTTTAAGACACCGGGTCCAGGACGTGAACCACAGTCGACTACATGGGAGTCCAGCAACATAGCCTTTACGCTAACTGCTGGTTCCCCTAGCTGGTTCTTAGTAGCATACTTGGGAACATCCTTCCTCTTGGTGGTCTGTGTTAGACATTTACAACTTATTCATGTTTGTGCCTTTAAGTATAGGGATGATCTCCAAGTATGCTCAGATTCAGAATATTCGAAGCCTGCCTTTCTGGCACTTGGCAAGGATTCTGAGTCCCATCTCCCTTGTATACCACAGTACCTGCTGATGCTCTTAAAAGGCCACTGAGCTCCCTTACCGTGAAATAAAACTGCTCTGTTTCTTGCTGGTTGGCTCTCCTCTTAGCGATGCTAGGCTTGCTCATGAAGGTTTCTGAGACTGTGGACTTGACAGACTCCATGGAGTTGCTGTATTGGAAGCAGTCAGACACATCAAAATCTTCTACAGTCACAATGTCCTGGATGGTCTGAAGGGTGGCCTCCATTGTCTTCTTTACCTGCAATGACAAAGGCCAACCCAATGCATGAGGGGCAGATTGCAAAATAGCAGGTGATGGAGAAGCTTGGAGAAGTGGGAGGAGGAGTAGGCTGTGGAAGGGTGGAGGATGCTCTAAGAGGGTGCAGTTCTGCTTCCCATTGGACATCGTGGAGTGAAAACTATCGCATGGGCTCTGCCAGAGTGTGCTACCCCTCCAGAGAGGACCACTACCTTCTTCACGCTATGTACTTGACTCAGCTTGTTCATTTAATATTTATGTTTAAATTTAATATTAGTTTTGTTGTAATGGAAGTGCTAAGGGAAGGAGAACGAAACAAATCCAAACCAACTTCGTCGTACACAAGAGCTAGTTAAAATGTGTGAGCAGTCTTGTGCTGCAAATTCCCAAGGTCTGTGTCATGATCTTCAACAAACTGATGAACTTGTTTCCCCATTTGCAAACTAAGTGACCCATCCCCAGTCCTTCTTGACCATTCTTGGAAAACTAAGACTTACTAAGATGCAAGGTAAGAAGCCATCTGAGCTTAACAAAAAAGCTAGATCATCAATCATACTGCCCTTTTGAACTAGTAGTTAAAAGCAAATACACAGGCCCAGAAGGAAGTCACCCTTTCCTAAGAGGACAGAGATGTTTGAAGTGTCAAAGTCAAAGGCCTCTGTTTGTTTGAAAATGCTGGAAAAAGCCAGGCACGAGGGGGTGGTTTCAGAGACACAATATTGTTCACACAGCTGCCAAGTGCCATTTTGATTAAATGTGTAGAGGGGGAAAAAAAGCATTTTGCAAAAGCTCAAAATAGAACACAACCTTTGGCAATGTAAGAGCAACTTCCTGGAGTTCAAGGGCAGGATGTAGCAGAGGGGGAAAGTCCAAGCCTACATTTGGCTAGGAAATGTTTATGGCAGCCCGGACATTCTCTGCATGCTCCTTCCACCTGCTCCCAGATGGCAGCAGGCAAGAGGCGCACCAGGGACACTTGGAGGGTGGCTTTGAGCCCTCCAGGCAGGAAACTCACCTCTTCATTCTCAATTTTCAGAGTGGATAAGCGAGACTGCAATTGTTGGCATCTCTGTACCAGCTCACTCTGGACAGGCTGCTGGGCACACAGCTGGGAAGCCTGCCAAAAGAAAGCAACACCAGGTCAGGAAGAGGCCAGGGTTTTCTTGGCAGTTCTAGAGTTCCCATTACTGCTAATAAAACGATTCATGTTCAAGGTATAAGGCTCAGCTTCTAGGTTGAAACAAAATCCGAAGCCACCAGGTATGGACCTCTTCCAGGACTAAAAAGCACATGAAAGGAACGGGGCTGGTTTGGAAAGACCTGGTCCCTCTCTTTGAAACCCATCTCTAGGCTGGTGGTTGGCAGTGGCACGTCTACACAGGCACTACAGCTCCATAGAAGGCTGAGGAGGCTGGTCAAGAGTGTCTTAGGCATCCCTAGTTCCAGAAACACAATGCTTTGGCACAGTGAGGATTTCCAGTGGCACATCTACATAGGCACAACAGCTACATAGAAGGCTGAGGCTGGTCAAGAGTGTCTTAGGCATCCCTAGTTCCAGAAACACAATGCTTTGGCACAGTGAGGATTTCCTGCTAAAGACTCAAGTGGCCACCGCTCCAGCCCCTTCCGCATCTCCCTTCATATACCAGAGTGAAAGCAGGAGAGAAGTGGGTCAGGAGGCTAACTTGCTGCTGTTGGCAGCCAGCATGTGTTTATAAATCCAGGCCATGCATGAGAGTTCTGACTCAATGAGAGGGAGTGTGAAGCCAGAACAAGTTCATTGGCTATGTGAGAGGGCCCCAGAGGGCACAGAATCTGGTGAAACTTGGCGTTTTCCGAAGAGCTATTATTTTATCCCAGGTCTTCACTAGATCTGCATGGAGAGAAGTCTGCCCTTCCTCCAGCGAGTACTGCCAACTAGCTTTCCCCAGTGCGACAGGATGGCCGACCCACTGTCTCCTGGTGGGGGGCTGGCTATGGCATGAGGTCACCCACAGCCCGCAGGATGACGGATGAGGAGCAGAAGGCTGGAAGAGTTGGGAAGCGGGAACCATGTGGAGGCAGCTCCTGTCACCTTGCTACCATGTGTCCTTTAGCTTCTTATATCCAGAGAGACATCTGCATAGACTGCCTCCTTCCTCCTTAGCAACGAGTGGGCACATTCACTTGCCCACAGATCATTCTCTTACTTTTGAAAAGACAAAACCTCTCTTTAGATGGAGAGAGCTTAGACTTGACCTTTTTCTCCATTGGCTTTTAAGCTCCCAACTGACTTGACCTCTTCCCCTGGCTGAAAGGCTGGCCTGAGCCAGCTCTCAGATCTGCAGAAAGCTGACTTCACTCTGGCTCTTGGATAAGCAGACACAATGGAGAACGCTCAGTGGCCAGGATGGGTGAGTGCCAAGAGCGAAACTCTCTGGTTGCCTGATGTCACCAGTCAGGCATCCAGAGCCCCATAAGCCTCTGGGGGCACCAAGAATGGAGCCAAGCACCTCCTCCTAGTATATCTAAGAGTGCTTGGCATCAATTCATGTGCTGAGTGCCCCAGAACACTAGTCAGTGTGGGGCCTTGGCCAATTTCAGGGCTTCCGGTCAAAATGCCACCCGAACTTTGGCCCCAGTTCAAGAACATCTAGGCAGCCACCTCCCGTGGCCTCCACAATCTACAGACAACCCACACTAATGGGGATAGACTAGCTGCAGGGACCAAAAATGACTCATTCTCTCATCTCTTTTTATTTTCCACTCCTATGAAGACTAGTCTGGAATGTAGAACCTTTGCAAACTGGAGGACTGGCCCTGGCCCTGCCTGGCTCAGCCACTGATCAGCTATATGTATAAGGGACCCTGGCAAGGGAGGGCTCAGACAAGAGTGGGCCAGGTTTTTAAAGTATCTCAAACCTGGTAGGAAGCAATCATTGAGGACAAAGCCACCTGCACGTCTGTCCCTTTAAGAAGAGGGAGAGCTGCTGACGCATGCTTTGGCAGTTGCCATCTACCGTCTACTGTCTACCGGGGTGCAAGGTAATGCATTCCAGCTGTGCTCGGTAGTATGGAAATAAGGCTCTGACAGGGCGGGGAGGGGGCCTTAGCACCCGGCATCTGGATCTCTCCTTTACAGAGACAAGCTGTTTGGCTCAGAAGGCAACTCAGGCAGCACCAGAAAAATGTATCATTCTACTCAGCTGGTCCCCAAGTTCCACTGATTCTTGGGAAGGAATCTTAGTGGCAGCTGGGAGAAGGAGCTTCGAGGCAAGTTTGTCCAGAAGCCAGGGCAGGTGAGGAATGGGGCTTCCTGGGGCTTGGCGACAGCCCTCCGCCCAGCTCTGACTGCACATGCTGTCATCTCACTTCCCCATCTGTTCAGACACTGACACTTCCTAAGCCACAGCAATAGAAACAAACTCTAAAGCGTCTGGTTTTTCCAAAGAAGGAGAGGAAAGAAATTGTCTCCACATTTTCATCTAGGATAGAAATGTCCACTCTCCATAGTGGCCTTTCGATGACAGTGATTCTTCTGGTTACAATGCTCTAGCTGTCATTCTGGAACAGGGATTTCTAAAGAGTCTGTATCTAGCCCTAAGGGAAGCACCATTCCTGGGGTGCACACGAATGTTTTTAGGTCCCCTAGGTCCATTCCTCCTTCTTTTGGCAACTTTGGTCTAACTGCCCTGGGGTGGGGGTGGGGGGTGGGGACACCTCCCCCCTCACAACTCAGGCCATGTGCTTTGTGAAGCACGTGACCCATGTTAGATAAGCCAGCAGTGGACTGCAGATTCCCAGCTGAGGTGATTGGCTCAGGGATCAGCATTTTCTCCAATCAAAACCAACAAGATACGGTAATACTTTCATGGGAGCTTGGAGGAGAGAGAGAGATTTTTCTCCACTAGATTTCAACCTACCAGGAGACAAGGATAAAAATGCAGTCACCTTACCCCACGAGATAAAGACCTATATGAGAATGAAGTTAACATACAGGAAGTGGAGCAGACAGAAAAACAACAAGTCTTGGTAAAATTCCGGCTTCTAAATCCTACCATGCCTGAAGGTCCATCTTGATCTTCCCTCTCAGGTAAGCGTGTACAACCTCCTTCTGACTTAACCAATGGGTGAACGGAGGCTCCTACTCTCAGGGAGGACGGTCGCTCTGATTTGTTAGCACAACCCCCAGGAGTGGAGCATAAAGATCTAGAATAATGAAAACCAAAGCACTTCTCTTTGCTCTCGTTTTAGTTTATTTAGGCCCTTCTCGCTCTCTCTCTTTTTTTGTCATATTTTTAAAGTAATTATTTAATTTTATTTATTATTATTATTTTTAAATTTGATCAGAGAGAGAGAGAGAGAGAGAAAGTGAGAAAGCAAGCCACCGCATCTGGGACTCAAACTATAGTCAGCTATGTGGGAGTCCAGCGTCTTCACCACCACGCCACAAGCTGACTTCAATTTAGGCCTTTCTTGTTCTAGTCTCTAATTAGAGGAGAAGAGTCCAAATCAAAGTACCCCTATTGATGTTCCCTGGCCTAGGTCACCAGCATCAGGCCTCCAGGATGGCATCTTAGCTCTTGACCTTCCTGTAGGTAGCCATTCTCTTTTAGTTCAATACCCAAGAAAAACTATACCCTTTATCGCAATGTTCTAAACTCAGGAGAGCGAGAGCCTTCGGCACGCCCAGTGACTGAGAGATCATATCAGTCCCTGCTCAGCCCTCTCTCCCCTCACAAATGCCTCTGGGACCTGGCTCTGCCTCAGCTCTCATTTCTTTCAGCCTTACCCACTTTCCTTTCCCCACAGAACTTTCAGGAGTTTTTGGGAATAGTCCTGTTGTTCCTTCTTTGATCTGCTGACCCCTTTGGGTGCTCCTCCCTTTGCACATCCCAGCCTCGGCTACCGGTCCTCAGACTGTCGGCTCCCAGCGGGTTCTCATCCCCAGTGTCCACAGCCAAGCCTGGGGTGCAGCAGGCACTCAGTGTGTTGCTGAATGAATGGGATGTGACTCACCCGTCTGACACGCAGGCCCCTTCCCCGCAACATAACGTGGCTCTGTGTCCTGAGTCTAAACACAAATGTGCTCAAACCCCTTGGAGGAGTGGTGAGGATGGGGAGAGGGCCTCACCATGTCGCCCATGTGGGGCTGGAACTCGAACTTCATAGGGGGACAGAAGACATTGTTGTACATCTCCATGAGGCGCTGCTTGTCACTGATGGCATCCAGGTTTTCCACTGCATTCTCGATGGCATCCAGACCCTCGTGCTTCGATTGTTCCAAGTTCAGCTCCGCAGAGAGGAAGGTGCGCAGAGCCCGGTTCAGGCTAGCGTGGTAGCCTAGGTCACAGCACTGCTGTGGGAAGGAGAAGGCACATGAGCACACCACGGACAACTGAGGCTTGGTGGAGAGGAAGGGTGGGCCCCTGGGCAGATCTGGCCGTGCCCGTGAGACTGGCTGCAGAGGAAAGATGGCTGCTGTTCTGACTTCGGAGATCTGGGGGCGATTTCTCAGTTCTTGACTCCTATTGCAATGGTTAAAAGCATTAAAAGCATTTATAAGATTAAAAAGACCAAATGTAGGTCTTACTGGGGAAAATTCCTATCATGTAAAGGATTCTGATTTTCACAGCAAAATAAGAAAAGAAATGGAATGAAAGAGGCAATAGTATTTAAGGAGTACTGGACGTGAAGTCAAGCATCCGTGGAAGACGCTCCCCATCCCTGACCCTGTTTTCTCTGTGGTAGAATGAACAGATCTCACTGGGTCAGTGGCTTGAAGTGACAGACCAGAACTCTAAAATTCTAAGCCAGAGCTCAAGATGACCTTGAGAAGGGGGTAAAAAGAGAGCCTAACGATTAGGATGTGGAGCCTCCTAGCCCTCCTTCACCCACGTCAGATCTGCCATGTTTTTTCTACTTAATATAGTGGGATTCTGCATAAGGTCTAGTTTGAAGGAACAATTCTTCTGCTAGAGAAAATGTTTCAAAATCCTTAGACTCAATGTGATTCCAAAGGCCCTCTTCAGCAATGGCATCCTGTAACATTATGAAAATATCCCCCACCCCTCCGAAAGGACCCATAGATCCAAATTGCTTGGCTATCCATTATCCCCTGTATTGTGTAAGCAGCTTTTGAGGTCCAGAATCTGAGAACTGTCAGAGAAGAACCCAGGATGGGTACAGCCATTTGCCTGATGACCATCTTAACGATACACAAGCATCAAATGAACTCTGCCCAGCCTTTTCCTCTCGTCGTGACCACATTGGGAGCAGCCACTACTACGGAAGGGAAAGCATGTGATGTGTCTCCTGCTTCTGAGTCTGACAAGAAGCTCAGCATTGGGCCGGGTGCTGGGATCTGTGCCCACAGGCCCTGGCAGGTGCCTGGCTGCGGGCAGGATAACAGCAACGACAGCTTAACTGGAGGCAGAGGTTACAAAGGCACTGCATTCCGTTTGGAGGGAAGAGCAAGTGGAAGCTAGACAAAAGTGTCTGATTGGGAGGCTGCACGTGCAGGGGAGGTGCTGCTGGGCTGCCCTTGAACCTGTAAACCTTCCTGACTAGTTCTATGTAGCCCTGGTGATGAACCCTCACGCCTGTAACTGAAATGAGCAGAGATAATGCTGCCCATGGGGTGTGTGTTGGGGAGGGAGTTATAGGAGTAGGAGGAGGCAGGGTGCCCTTCAGAAATCTTCATCTAGTTTTGGTTAACTCCCCTTCTCCATTCTCATCACCTTTACCCTGGTTCATAGTCTCCTCATCTCACACCAGTGCTATCTGTGTCACTGTCCTAAAATATGACTTACCTTCCTGTTGAAGAATTGAAAGTACTTCTCTTTTTTTTCTCCCCCCTATGGTAAAAATCCACCTTCTTAAATTTGAAAATTAAAAAAAAAAAAAAGGCTTCTTGGGCCTGCTGGTGGTGTGGTGCTGGGTCGCTGGATTCCACATGGCTGACTGTGTGGTCCAAAGTACCAAACCTGACAGCTTGGGAAACACGCCAGGCGTGTGTGCGTGCATGCCCAAGGTCCCGAGAAGAGAATGGAGGAAAAGGGACTGCACTGTGGCCATCCTCCAGGGGTACTTCCTTGCTTTCCCTTTCTATCTGTCTGTCTGAAAAGCACAAGCACCCTGTAGCAAAAATTACAACCACCACAAAAAGCTTCTATAAACAAAGTGTGTTTTTTTCTATGCCAGTGTGTGCTAAGTGCTTTCCATATGTTTTAATCCATATAGCAACCCCAATGAGGCTGTTATTCTCTGTTTCTAATCTTCCCATCCAAGATCATCTGCCCCTGTTTTCTTCACCGAACTCTTCTGCTCTAATGACATACTCTATTTAGGGTGGAGCACTGGAAAAGCACTAGCTTCAAATTGGTTACATGCCCTTTAGCAAGTGTCTTAATCTCTCTGAGCCTCAAACGGGGACAACACCAGGCTCCTAGGTAGTTATGGGACTGATGACAGACAACACGTCTTAAATACCTGGCACTTACGGAAACACTGAACACCGATCGGATCATCAACATCCCCAAATCCACTGACCTTTGCCCTTCAGTTCCTGGCATTTTTCAAGGTCCCGAGAAGAGAATGGAGGAAAAGGGACTGCACTGTGGCCATCCTCCAGGGGTACTTCCTTGCTTTCCCTTTCTATCTGTCTGTCTGAAAAGCACAAGCACCCTGTAGCAAAAATTACAACCACCACAAAAAGCTTCTATAAACAAAGTGTGTTTTTTTCTATGCCAGTGTGTGCTAAGTGCTTTCCATATGTTTTAATCCATATAGCAACCCCAATGAGGCTGTTATTCTCTGTTTCTAATCTTCCCATCCAAGATCATCTGCCCCTGTTTTCTTCACCGAACTCTTCTGCTCTAATGACATACTCTATTTAGGGTGGAGCACTGGAAAAGCACTAGCTTCAAATTGGTTACATGCCCTTTAGCAAGTGTCTTAATCCCTCTGAGCCTCAAACGGGGACAACACCAGGCTCCTAGGTAGTTATGGGACTGATGACAGACAACACGTCTTAAATACCTGGCACTTACGGAAACACTGAACACCGATCGGATCATCAACATCCCCAAATCCACTGACCTTTGCCCTTCAGTTCCTGGCATTTTTCTCTTACTGAACTGTTTCTCGCTACTGTCATCTGTTGGGAATGAACTCAATCTTCAAGATCCAAATCAAATCCTCATTCTCTGACCCGGCAACCCTGACCGACATTGATCCTGACTTCCACTGAGAAATACACTAGCAGCCTTCACAGGACAAAGCATCCAGCCCTCACTCTGTGACTTGCCATTTTAGATTTCCTCTATCAAGAAGGCAATCATCTTGAAAGCTTGGCTGCTGTCTTATCCTTCTTTTTTTTCTTTTTTCTTTTTTTGGAGAGGTTTTTGCTATAGGGCGCGTGCGCTCGCCAGAAAGACTGAGAGAGAAAGAGAGATAGAAAGCGAGAAATCATCCCCCAGGGGGGATGGCCACGCCGCAATCCCTTCTCCTCCGTTCTCCTCTCAGAATCGTGGGCACGCACATACACGCGCCTGGCGTTAGTTTAAGCCACTGGGTCCGGGACTCGAACCGCAGTCAACTACATGGGAATCCAGCGACACAGCCATTACGCCAACTGCTGGTCCCTCTTATCCTTCTTTCTATCCCTCACTATTAGGTCTTGCTCACAGTAGGCATTTAATAAACCTCAGCTAATTGATGTCACAGATACAGACTCCAGCCTCTCAGGAAAGAATCCACTTAGGCAGAATACCAACCTAAGGCAGGTGGGTAGATTCAGCCACTGAAGCCTTTGCTTTTGTATGGCCTAAGGAAAGCAGGACGGGTTCCTGGGCTGGTTCACTGCCTCTATTTATATAACCAAGCTGCGGCTTTTCGGAGCCAAGGAGAGGGGTCTGACTTACATTGTGCCCTCTGGCTACTTCACGCCAGAGGGAGATTCAGAATACATTTTCCAGAGCCTTGGACATCTATATATCTGTAGGGGCAAGAGCCAGAAACTGGGCCTTCAGCCAAGAAGTAATCTCTGGCAAGGCTAGGTAAATGGATTTGAATCTTTCATCCTGTTCCCTGGAGACCCCCAGGGAGCAGAGGCAGCATGTTGTTCAGCTCACCATGGGGACAAAGCATGCTTTCCACGGCTTCTGGTGAGTACCGGGACCATGCTGGGATTCCCTGGTCATTTCTGGGTTATATAAATGTTTGATGAAAACCCTCCCAGGGGAAATCAAAGTTTTATAAGAATTTAATGACAGCCCATTCAGATATATGATGACTTGGGTTGATAGCTCATTAACCCTTTACCAGCCGATATCCTTACTCAGAGACTCTAGAGAAGGCCGAGAAAAGAAAAAAAAAAATGAGTGTTTCAAAACACCCACCTTGGGGTCACACAGAAGAGAAAACTAACTGCCCTTACATGTCCCTCGTGTCCGACTTGGTACACACGGTGTCACAGATGCTCTCTCCATGTACACGGCACTCGCAACACTCCACTTATGCACGAGGACAATGCCCTGTTCTTCATTCATCCATCTGCTGCTGGGTTGAGAGAACCACAGGAGTACGGGGGAGGAAAATTACATTCCAATGAGCCTACGGTTCTTAGATGAGTGTTTCAAAACACCCACCTCGGGGTCACACAGAAGAGAAAACTAACTGCCCTTACATGTCCCTCGTGTCCGACTTGGTACACACGGTGTCACAGATGCTCTCTCCATGTACACGGCACTCGCAACACTCCACTTATGCACGAGGACAATGCCCTGTTCTTCATTCATCCATCTGCTGCTGGGTTGAGAGAACCACAGGAGTACGGGGGAGGAAAATTACATTCCAATGAGCCTACGGTTCTTAGACGCTATCAAGTGAGCTCAGAATGTCTTCTTGGCCCGAAGTCAAGGTTTTTCTGGTACGTGTTAGATGCCTCACGTGGGTCCCTGCAGTCCAAGTTTCAATCTTATACTATACTATAAAAAGAAGTCGGAGGCTAGTTCTTGTGTCAATATAATGGCATTGACAAAAATAACTTCTTTTCACTTAAACTCAATGCCGTTAGCACACACTGAGCTTCAATAACCCTAGGAAAGAGGCAGAATGGTGCACATAACACAGATGGCAATGGACTGGAACAAGATACAGCTCATGTCTTAAAGCAAGTTCTGGATATTGTCAAGATCAGGATGCCAACATACTCAGACTCCTCACTCACTCTTTTTTCTTTCAGCTCTTGTTATTACAAAGATCAGCAAGGAAAAGGGGGAAAAAACTTCTGATACATGCAAACAATATGATAAAAGCTCAAAAATGCACTGGACATAAGAAGCCAGATGTTAAAAT